ACCTTTTTCTTTATGTAACCAACATAAATGCACTGGGTTACCCCCAAAGAGCTCGTTTTGTTGACAAGACTAAAAGGACATACGTCAACAATGCATTTGACGTCAAGATAAACACGAAGTGAGGGTCATAATTCTGACGTCAAAAGTGTTTTCCAATTGCTCGTAATTACACATGCCCTTCGGATTTTAAGGTATATGTGGAGAAAGGAGCAAAATATTTAACGGGGTTGATCCAGTAAATAGAAATAAACGGTTCACATGAAATGCTTTGAATATAGTTCTTTAAGTAGTTTATATATTGATAACGAACATGTCCAAGGCAGGGAAATGGGCGATCCTCAACTGCAATAATATTCGTTAATCAATTGAATATTACTCCGATGATCTGATAGGGGCGCTAGACCTTCAAACGAAGTGGTGTCCTCGCGAGCACGAGCAGAGGCTCATTATGACGCACACACGATCTCATCTGCCTGCGTGCATTTTGGAAAAGGCGTGGATTATGATATTGATTGATTAATGAAATTTATACAAAATCAAGTTACTGGCTTCTGTAAATTTAAAGAAGCTAAATGATGTTTCATAGTCAAATGCTTCTCAGTTTTACGCCTTTGCTCAAGTAAGTTTGTCTCTGTGTACTTCTACAGGGTTAATGTTATCTACAATGCTTCTCAGTTTTACGCCTTTGCTCAAGTAAGTTTGTCTCTGTGTACTTCTACAGGGTTAATGTTATCTACAAGGAAGAACAGTAATATTCTATAAACAATGCTGAATTTGGGCTTTCCACCAATTTTTGTCTATGTACATGTATTAATATTTCATTTTGTATATTTTACTATGCGCAATATTTTTATCTGATTTCGGAAATAACAAACAACAACAACAACCCATATTTCCAATGTTCCAGTTTGCAAATCAAGGATAGTTTGTTTACAAGCGTTATATATAACAATGAAAGCAAATATGGGTACATAATTAAAGTAAAGCGCCTCATTTTGGAGATTTTTACATTTTGTCACTATCCAGAGAATTACAAAGTATTCCTCCAAAAGATTATCAAAATACTAGTATAATATTATTATAGTTGATAACACGTGAATGAATATATCACCTATTACTTGTGTATGTAAGCCTTATATATGAATACTGGGTTTTGACGGTGCACTGTAACCACGATAAACCCATATTTCTTTAATTGCAGGGGAAATGAAATGTATGATGTTATGTGAGTTAGATTTTAGTTTTCGCACAGGTGTAGTTTCCAGGACTCATCTTCAATCATTGAATCCATTTATTTACGTTTACATTTCATAATTATACTGATCTGTCAGTATGATGATAACCTTAGTGTAGATAGATAGTCGAATTGGATAGGAGAGGGGATATGCGAAAAGAAATAGAATATGATATAATTGTTTTAATGTGTTTTATTTACACCAGTTCTAAAACCATCCAAAACATAACACTTTGCTCTGTCGGTGCCGTGCATCCTTTCTTTGGTCTTCACTGTAGTCAGTGGAGGATTGAGTAGCACGGGTTGGGGCACCCCCTCCCCCTCCCCTCCTCTGCAAAAAAAAATGTAACGAGCACTATAGAAATACGGCCCAAAAGGCACATGCTGATGTTCCATTCCTTTTTTGTCTTGCTTGCTTCTCAAAGAATTTTCAACCCCCCCCCCCCCCCCCCCCCCCTCGCCACATACAAAAGATCCGTCATCTGAATGTGTTTTTCTTTGGATTTAACAACCGGTACATTTACATACAACGTTTGTAGAAGTGGAAAATACAGCCACCCTCATCCTCACACATACACACGCACACATACGCATTCTCTTTTTCATCTCTCTATCTCTCTCTCTCTCTCTCTCTCCTTCTCTCTCTCTCTCTCTCTCTCTCTCTCTCTCTCACACATACCCATCCTTTCAGCCTATACATGTATTCCCTCCGTAAACTTTAACAAAAATACTTTTAGAACTTTTAGAGGCAATATTCGGATGTGAGCTTAATTTGTGTCAACTTTAATGTCAAGATCGGTTACAAGGACAGACAGGTTGAATGACATTCGATTAACGTGAAACTTGGAGGTCCGTAGCACTTACTACTAGTGAATTATTCTTAACTATTCTTAATTATTCCTACTATATAATTCGCTAGTTCTCCCGTATATAACATATTGTAATAGTGTATGGGCAAATTGCGGTTCGACACAAATTAATTCTATTTTTAAACTGCAAAAGAAAGTCATACGTATTTGTACAGGTTCGCATTTCTTAGCTCACAATGATCCTTTATTCTATAAACTTATAGCACTAACAAATTTCGATCTGAACACAACTCAAGTAGCAGTTATTATGTTTAAGTACATTAATGATCAACTTCCACCATCCTTTGGTAACATGTTTAGGTTAAATATTTTTGTTCATTCCTACCCTACTCGCATATCTGGAAATTTCCATCTTACAAATCCCAAATTATCAATAACACACAAATCTGTTACACATTCTGGCCCGGACATTTGGAATAATTTTCCCCGACAACATAAAGTCCTGTTCAACCATCTACTCCTTAAAAGCTACACTTAAACGACAAATAATACAATCATACGCTCCTCACTCTTTAAATTAGTATAAAACCGTGACTTATTTTGTTCTTTATCATGCAACTGCTTATTGCACCTGCACTACACCCACTTGATCATCCAGTTTCCCAAGAGAGTTGTGTCGCCAATTCTTTTTTTCATGAGGCCTCCATCCATCTCCAGCCTAACCGCTCGCGATGGTGGTCTCCTGCGTTCTAATTTATTGACAAATATTTCATATTTCTTATATCATTTGTATGCTTCATACATGTTTATCATATGATATGATTGTGCATGATTTTCTATTTCATTACTTTTGTAAACATTTCATTCATTGTATTTGTTCTTGTTCGAATATTTGTACCTTGAATTTGTATCTTTTTGAACGTAGAAATAAAATCAATCAAACAAACAAACAAACTATTCTTCTTTTCAGTGAAACCAGTCCCTGGGTCTAAAATCACGCTACCATGCAAAAGCAAAAACTTAGACCTCAGAATAATTTCAAATGTTATACCCCATTGTGATCAAAAGTGTTATGTATAGTTGAAGTTGAACACGGACCAAAGTATGTGACAGCACGGGAGACTGTTTTGTCGAAGGCCGATGATCAGAATAGTGATTGCCGCCATGCATTCAAAGGAAATATACAGGCTTTGATTATAAGACCGATATTGATGTCATTAGGGGCTTTTAGATTTGCACGTCGAAATAGTGGACAGCTACGTGTGACCTCCCTTAAGGCACTAGTAGTGCCTTAAAAAGACGTCACAGTGCCTTATTAAAAAGGACATCACACGTAGCCGTCCATTATGTTGACGAGCAAATCTAAAAAGCCCTATTCACACACCAGTGACGGATCCAGGGGGGGGGGGGGGGGGGGGGCCCGCCCCCCCCCCCCCTTGAGAAAAAATCATGTAAAAACACGTGACTTTTACTTTTTTGGCGCTCAAGGGGGGGGGGGGAATGCAAATTTTTAAATTTTCGAGGACCAAAAAAATAAGTGCTCACTCACTGGTTTACCGAGTTATATCTGAACGAGCCTTTAGGCTGTAGGCCTATCACAGCTGGGTGTGTTTCACAAAGATCCTAAGATGAACTTATCACTAAGTTGGACTTAAATATTATGGAGAGCCATTTGTAGCCTTGAAATCAAATATATTCAAAAGCAAAAATTCAAGTATTTTTGACTTTTCATAAATTCCATATCAAGAACATGAAACCTCCTTAATAGTATACAAATATACACTGCCTTGAGAGGTTCTGGTTAAAACTATGCGCAAGAGGTGACTCCAATAGTACTATTTGCTGAGGGGCGCAGCCCCGAAGCAAATGGTACTTTTGGAGTCGCCGAGGCCCATAGTTTAACCAGTACTTCGAATAGAAGGCATGGTATATTTGTTTTATATCCTGCATCAAAAAATTATTTAAAAAAAAAAAAAAAAAAAAAAAAAAAAATTTGGAAGAAAAAAATTTAGAACAAAAAAATGTCAATTTTTATCTAAAAAGATTTAAAATATTTTGTTTTCATTAAATTAAGATTTGAAAAAAAAAATTGATTCAATTCAAAAAAAAATTCACATTTTTTTTCAACTCCCAAATAGTAAACCAAAATAGTACTCTCATATAGTACTTTCTAAAAATAGCTCAAATATTTTGGGTCATGTGACGAGCTCTCAACCAATCAGAAGCCAAAAATTTTTGATGCAGGATATAATAGAAAATATGAATGATTTGAATCAACTTTTTATGCCTTTTAAAATAACTTTTACAAAATATTTTCATAGATGTTAATGGCTTTCCATAATTGTTAGGTCCAACTTAGAGTTAAGTTTGACTTAGAATCTTTGTTAAACGCCCCCTAGTGTTATACCCAAGAAAAGGGGGGATCATGTTGCAGGGTTGCGGATCACTTCGGTGTTCGTCATGTGTGCGGACTATGCATGGCACTAGACACACAGCAAGTGACGCAGACGGGTAAAGCCCGTCGCACACGAGGTAGCATTGGTCTGACGTAGCACTGCGTCAGCGTCGGGTACGATATTTTACCTGCAATGTGGTGTGAAGATGGCATCGTCAGAGAAATGATTGCAATAATTAATATAGAATGCAAACATCGCGCTGATTAACTGACGTTAGGATAATTACCTCCACACTTGACTGGATTAGATCAGCCCAGGTAATAATTGAAATCGAGATGATGTCTCATGTATAATGGGGTTAAGCTCTGGTTATGGTCGTGGATTAAGCATGCATAGCTTTTAGAAAGCGTTACAATTGTTACCAATTTCATCTTCAGTAACGTTACACGGACCTAACTCTCTTTGGACAAGCATGACGGTAATCTCAATGATTTGGTTGATGCGTGTGGACTTACATAATGTCGAATACATAAGATCATTTTAGCCAACGGTTCACCATGTTCACCGGTTGCATCGTAACCACTTCCAGAAGAGTCTCCGAGCCTCGGCGTTTGTAAGAATGTAGAGTACAGGAAGTACCCAGGTACTGCTGATGGAGATTTTGTCCAGAATATCCACGGCCGACTGATCAACTTTGGTTACATAATAGATGACATGGGGTGACCATAACGTGCAGAAGGAGACAGACATGAGGGTTACAGTAACGTATCCTTTCATTCGCCATCTTGAATGTCTGCGGTCCAGAAATCCTCTGACTTGACCGAGGGGTCCATTCTGCGCTTTGGCATGACACTGATCGTAATTCGTCTTTGCTTCAGTGTTATCAATGCGGTTTTTTGTCTCGAAATTGGCCACTGCTTTTGTTTTCTGACGAACTATAAGCAATAACTTGATGTTGATAAATGAAGTAAAGACTAGTGTTGCACAAGGAAGAAATGTCTGATAAAATGTGTGCACTGCAGACACCCAATTAGATTTTGCACTCAGATCTTTATTAAGGCAACGATCTATCATGAGATTCATGAATGTACTGTTTGGAATAGGTAGGTAGATACCACTAGATAAAGCGATCATCAGAGTTGCGAGTGTGACTGTAAAACCAAACCGCCTTCTTGTTACCAGCGTGTAATATCGCAATGGTCTTGTGACGAGGATGTAAAGATTTAAGCTGATGCCACACAGAGACACCATCGCAATAGAATGCGAGACTTGGTAAACGTAAGAGAACGCCATACTTATGTAAGTACATGAATCTTTCGATGTGCTTAAAGACCAGAGTAGTTGCCAAGCATTCCAAATGATACCATATACCATGTCCGATGCAGCCATGATTTCGTAAAGAACGCGCATGTGAACTTGAAGCTGAGTTTGATGCCGTAGTACAATCAGTACCGTAGCATTGGAGCATAAGCAGAAGAATATTATAATAAAATACACAAGATGCTTTGGTGCTAGAGTGCTTGTTGCCATGTCAGTAATATCTGAACCCTGTGTACTCTCCATCAGAGCATCATTAGACGGATGTAAGTGAACTCGAATCAACAGCAATCTGGTGGTCGCAAACATAACAGATGTTGCGGGAATGATACAGATATCCCAAAACCAAATCATTTTATATGGCCAGCTTTACTAAAAAAAATTAAGAGGTTGTTAATAATTAAGAAAATTAGTAAGTGCTTTAAAAGGTGGCAAATAGATCATCTAATGCAGGGACAAGTGGAGTGGTAGTCAGTATATTACCACAAAAATATATTGGAAATGGGTTGATGGCATTATTGAATCAAAATTTGTCAAGAGTCCATTAAGTCAAGTGCCCCTGAGAAATCTCTATGTTGAGAGCTTTGTCTTGAAATGCTCATTAAGTGTTTACCAATCACACATTACGTTTGGAAAAAGCTTCAAGCTTCAAACTTTATTTACTCACTTCCGCTGTCATAAACTTTCTCGTAATAGTCTTTTATTAGGTTACTTCATATGACTACTTTCACCTTGTTTATGGATAATTTCAACTTGCGCTAAACCACTTTCTCTTATGGCTTTATGCCAAGCAGCAGCCACGTGTAGATACAATGTAGGCTCACCAATACGCAAACAAATACGATTAAAAGAAAACTGAAGTGCACGTTTTCCAACCTCACATTAAGTGATTGCATTTAATGGAACTTTAAAAAGTCTTAACGTGATACATAATCTCAAACAATATTTTATTCAGTATCAGTACCGTTTTCTTGAAGGATTTGAAATGTAAATACATATCTTTAAAGCTTCATTTCAGCAAACACGACAAAATGAACCGGGCCATTAAAATATACCCATTTAGACGAGCCATTGCCTGCCAAACTATGTGGAAAGTGAAGATCATGATATATGTCTCTTCATTCAGCTCCCCCTATTATATTCCATTAGTACATCAGTCCATTATTAATCAATTCAAAATTTGTCATTGTAAATAATAAACTAACTTAAAGGTCCGAGCGTATATGGAAATGACGGTGTTTGCATGACGATTCGTCACCAGAGATGATTGATTTTCCCAATACAGCAGCGACCTGAAATGCGACAAATTTTAATCTCCTTCTTTTCTTTCCTGGGAAAGATCAGTTTAGAATCAGTTAAAATCATCCAACCTCGAAATGAAACCTCTCCAGAATTATTTTCTTCTACTTCCTCAACTTATGAGATGAAATGTATTGATGCCATACCAAAACTATACACCAAATTCCGGTCAGATAAGTCCACTCGTAAAGACATTATTTTTTTTAAATCGTAACGCACGGGTTATCATAGCCACCATTATAGACGAATTACAAATGTAGTCTAATATCCATGCGCGCTGTGTCACCACTTTTTTGTTTACATTTACGAACAGGCATAATGTACATGTGACAACACAGACAAATATCAATTGGTGACAATGTACATACACTGTCGCTCATATAGTTGGAATATTTTTGTTTTACCCTAATTTATGGAGTTATTTTGACAATGATTTATTCCTAATAGATCTAGATAATTGTATACATTCTCAGATTTTATTGAATAATAATTTGCAAGTGTTTGTTTTGCGTGACTGCTAAAGCATGTGTATGCTACTATGCTTATGAACTAGGGGACCTGCGCCCTTAAGTCATAAATGACAGTAATGAGGATTAATGCCCATAAAAGGGCACTAATATAGCACATCGACACGGTTTTGATCATGGGGCCTCACAGTTACAAGGCCATTGCTTTGTCACTGAACCATGGCTGTACGCAGCGGGGGTTAGGGTAGGGGGCAGTTCCCACAATATTGTTTTTCTTTAATGCAATAAATGTTCAATAATTCATTGAATTTCCCCCCGGTCCCCAACAGAAAAAATCTTCTGTGTGACCATGCCTTGAGCCATAATGCATGGACGTACAGAGGATTTTTTTTATGGTGGGGACCGGGGTAAAGGCTTTATGGCTACGAAAGAAATATGAGTAGCATCAAGGAATAAGCTCAAGATGATGATGATAACTTAAGGAAATGTTTTAGAAAATGCATCCTTTACAATAATAGAAAAGTGCTCGAATTCATGAGTAGGTTCCTGTGATATGCTTGTTATATGCTTAATCGGTTAGATCACACATTATTTTTTTAAACCAGTTTCTGTGTTGGAGCTATTAAATATTGGTAAGAATCTAAAAGGAGGCACAAGCTGTGGAATAGAAGGTATTAGTCCAAATGTTGTGAAATACACGTTGCCATACATTGTTGAACCCTTCCTTTATATTTGTAATTTATCGTTATAAGCAGGCCATGTACCCAGCAAATTAAAAATATCGAAAGTAATACCTGTGTTTAAAAAAGGTGACCAATCAGACTTTTCGAGCTATCGACCCATATCTATCTTGCCATGTTTCTCCAAGATAATTGAAAGATTAGTTTATAATAGATTGTATGGAGTTTTAGCAAAATATAATGTTTTATTTCATGGTCAAAATGGTTTTCGATCAAACCACTCTACTGACATGGCATTAATTGAAATACAGGATATAATAATACAACTTTTAATAATAATAAGCATTTAATTCGTGTTTTATGGACCTTCCTAAGGCATTTATAATAATAATAATAACGTTTTATTTACCCAGGGTAGCCACTTCAGTTATGAAACTGCTCTTCCAGCGGGCCCTGCATAACATAACATGTTATTACTACCCTTCTCCAATCTAATATGCTAAGCGCCTAGCTAGAAGACAGAAGGTCCCAATGTTATAAGTCTTTGGTATGACTCGGCCGGGGTTCGAACCCACGACCTCCCGTTCATGAGGCGGGCGCTCTTACCACTGAGCCACCATGCCTGATTCGCCTTCTTTATCTTTTTTATTACGAAAATTGCAATATTAAGGTATGGGAGGCACACGTTTTTAATGGTTTGAATCTTACTTATTAAATAGACAACAATGTACTGTTTTTAATGATTGCACATCATATTTTAAAACCTTAAAAACTACCTCAGGGATATATTTTAGGACCTTTATTATTTTTAGTGTACATAAATGATATTACCAACTCTTGCCCTGGATGTGATTTGATGTTATATGCCGATGACACAACCATTCTATCCTCTCATAATGGTATTGATCTTTTACTTCAGTTTTTTAAATGAAAATCTTTCTAAAATATCATCTTCGTTTAAGTGCAATAACTTATTTTGACTTGACTTATGCCGTCCAAGCAGGCAAGGGGCCTCGTGATGGCTTCTGTATGGTGATGGTATGCCAGGTTTTTCTGTTTGCAGCCAATCGTGATGCATCTGTCAGCCTTCTTATGGATCTTGCTTTGCAGTCCTCTAAGATGCAGCCAAGCCATCTTATCAGTAAATGTCAATTCAACGCAATATATATATTTTCATAAAAGAGGATATCAAGTACCTAGAAACATAAAAATATACATAATACACTCTTGCAAAGAAATTAAAGTGTACTTTTTGGGGGTGTTACTTTGAATGAATCCTTGAATTGGAAGGACCATATTTCTTCTGTATGCTTAAAGGTTGCACGTTATGCCGTAATTATATATCGATTGAAAAATATTTTACCTGCATATGTCTCATTTAATATTTACAATACGTTTAGTTATCCATTATTTCTTACTGCAATACTATTTGGGGGAAATACTTATTGTACACACTTGCACAAACTAATTATATTACAGAAGAAAGCAATACGTATATGTACTAATTCAAGTTATATACACCCTCATCCCCATTATTTGAGAAATTATGTACACTTTAGTTATTAGATATAAACAAGCTACAAATATGTTCCCTTATTTAACGATTTAATACCCAAACTCTGTTTTTATATTTAATGAATATGTTTTTTTTCAAATTCTCAGATGCATAGTTATCGTACAAGAAATGCAAACACATTTCATCGGTGGACATATAATAAAGATTATTCAAGATACTCTCTGAGACATTCGGGTCCACTTCTTTATAAAATGTAACATGTAACCAATTCAATATTTCATTTAATATAACATTCAGCAGACAATATAAGAAACATTTAAATTGTTCATATTAATTACTTTCAATTTGTTAAATATCTTTTATTAAATTATCCTGTAGAACCATACCATACTGTTTGATCCTCTTATATGTTTTGTTTAAATAATATTTGTCATGTTGTCATGTTCTTTGTTTTATGTATTGTTTGACCAGTGTCTATTTGTTATGATAATAATGTAAAAACAATACAGAAACTAGGTGACTAAACCTAACAAGCCAAAAACCTGGCTTTCATTGTGTTCACCATTTTCCAATTATCCACTTATGTTTTTTATGTAGTCTGTTCCTTGCTTCTCATTGAATATTATACTTGTTTTTTGTTAAATCTTCTTAATCGTTTAATTGAAATGTCATAGTTTTATAATGTTTTTATTGCCCAATGACGGTTTTTTACACATTTTTTAAAAATTGATGATCGAATTTGGAAATATATGATTTGAATTGAATAAATTAATTTCTTAGTCAGTACGTTATCAATAAAACGTTTTTTTTCCCCGCCTGATATTTCTAATTCCTCGAAGAAACTTCAAACAAAGTCTCCTCGCCTCGGAGTTGGTTAGCATGTAAAGTATAGGGAGCACATATGTACTGCCTATTGCTATTTTATCCAGAATGACGACATAATAGAGCTCGATGTCGATAGAATAGTAGATAGCATGCGGTGTCCAAAGGGCGCAGAACGAAGCAGACTGGATG